AGTTGCCAAGGTTGAAGACCCCTGTTTTAGATGGCTCATGCTGGTCCTATGGAGATGATGGAGATCAGTCTTGTCTGGCTATCTGATGGAATTTGATTTGATTACACTTGAGGAAGTAAACAGGGTCCTTAGATTGCTGAATCCTGTGTATTAGATCCATGTCCTCCTGGATAATGAGATTTTCCTGGAAATAACAAGCAGCAGGGTTCAAGTGGGGTAAGAAGAGGGAGGGGGTTCAGCCTGCTCTTAGGAAACCAGTGGCTTCTCCTCAAGATGCCATTACTGGGACAAGCTTTACTTGACAATATTCATCCACCTCCAACCTTGCATTTTGGAAAAGCTCATGGAAAAGATTGCTGGCCTTATTGCTGTCAGGGTTCATGCTTGAATAGAGCTCCAAGGCAATTGATTGAATTTGTGGACGATCTCTGATGACTTGGGAAATACAGTATAAAGCAATCATGTTGTTGCTTGAGAAAGAAAAATCCTAGATCTATACAAGCCATTGAAGAAGAAATAGCATATGAGTCCTTGATACAAGCCATGAGGCTCAATTCCCATTATGTCTATTAATTGTATTAATTTTGCACATGACATGAAAGGTTATCTATGTGGTTTTTTTTAAAAAAGTGTTTAAATATGAAATATGATTTGAATATGGTTTTCTGATGTGGACAAAATGAAACCAAGAATCCGTTAAGGCAGGGAATTTGAAAAATTGCTTCTCTTCATATAAAATATGACCACGAGTGGCAGGAGTTTTTAGGACTGATGTTTGAACAATACGTTTTAACTAGATTAGGTACAAGAAAGCCCACCAGAGGCTCAGTACAGCTTCTTTAGAGCTGTCAAACAGCAAAAAAAAAAAAAACTAATAAAATGTCAAAAAAAATTATTTGGATGATCTGAAGCTTTGTGGATAATCAGAAATTGAAATCCAGCCATTGACAAACACTGTAACAATTTTTAGCACTGGAATTTGGTCTTGAAAAAATACGCTATATTAGCAATAAATTGGGGTAAAATAATCAATTTTAAAAGCCAAGTGACCATTCCATTAGGAACCATCTGGATGAAGCCTACACATAATTAGGCATTTTGCAGTTGGATAAGATCAAATATGGAAAAGCTGAACAAAGAACACATCCAAAGATTGAAAACATAGCTTAAGACAAAAATGAGTGGTGAGAATACCATCAAAGCCATCAGTAACTTGCCCATACCCTTAATATGATACACTCTTGGAATTATTAACTGGACAGAAACAGAACTGGATAGTTTATACTAAAAAAACTGATAACTATTCACTATGTAGTATTCCTCCATAGTGATATTGCTGGGTTACACTTGCCCTGTAGAAATGTACACAGAAGTTTACTTTAAGTGAAACAAACTGTTGAAGAAAAGAATGCATTGCTTGATTATGTAAAAGACAGCTAAGAACAAACATTAATGCAGTTTAAAAATTGGAATTTACTGAATGCATGGGAAACAAAATATGAATACTGAAATAATGCTGTAAATCAGAGGTGTCAAACTCAATTTTATTGAGGTTGTGTTTGACCTCGGTGGCCAGGGGGGAGGTTGCTTATGGTAGGCATTTGACAAAGGCTCAAGGTGTGCTTTTTCCCTTCTCTTCTTTCCATGCCAATGGTCATTTTTGGCTGGAAGACTGCTTCTGAAGACCAGGGAAGCAAAAAATGGGCCTCCTAGGGGCTCTCCAGGGGCTCTGCATGGCCCATTTTTGGCCATCTGAAGCACCGCTGGGTAATCCTTTGATATTTCAAATCTTGTGGGCCAGATTTAAGTACCCCATAGTCCGAATCCGGCCTGCTGGCCTTGAGTTTGATGCCCCTGACATAAACCAAGAACAGAATACTGGCAAGGAAAAGAATTACCTGGTCATTTTCTACAAAAGAAAAGGAAAATGGAGAAAGATAAAACCTGGCAATGGCTGACAACTGGAGCATTAAAAAAAGAAACTGGAGGCTTGATTTTGGCTACTGGAGAGCAAGCTATTGAACCAATTCAGTCGAGGCCAGATATTTTTTAAAAAATCATCAAATGATCCAAAATGCAGATTATTAAAGAAACAGAAGAACCAATAAATCATATATTTGGCTCATTGCAAGAAGATTACACAAGCTAATTATAAACAATGACATAACCCAGTTGCCAAAATGATTCACTGGAACATCTGTAAAATGTAATGAAAATTGGTAGGAACGTACAGTTGAAAAAGTGGTTAAAAATGTGCAGACTGTAATACAATATAACCTGATAAAGTCTTGGCTCATAATAAATGAGATTGAAATGTGATTGAAAAGAAGAATGTGCGGATAATTGATGTGGCAATGCTAGGGGATAGTAGTATAGAAGTATAGTGGTATAGAAGACAAAGAATTGGAGAAAGTCCCAAAGATCTGAAAATCAAAGTCAAAAGATTATGATGTAAACTGCCTATGGTGACCCCATTTGCTCACTGGATGAAAAATTCTTGGACAGCACTTAAACAATCTGCATATTGACAAAGTTTCCTTCTGTCAATTGCAAAAGACCACACTGCTGGGATCCATGCATATTTTACCTTGATACATTATGACCTCCTAGATTTTTGGGGTGAACTTGTTGCATATGAAGGCCAATTGCACTAAAGAACTGACAGCTGTAACTTCATGTTGTTATTTATATAACAATAAACAAGTAATCCTCAACTAACAACCATTCATTTAGTGACCCTACGAAATTACAACGGCACTAAAAAAAGTGACTTATGACCAGTGGTGGTATTCTACCAGTTCAGCCTGGTTCTGGTGAGCCAGTAGCAGCAATGAGCAGTGGAGACTGAACCGGTTCTCTCCACAGCTTTGCTGTTGGGCCCACCCACCCGCCTGGGCTCCCATACTCACCTTTATCCCCTGAATTTGAAGCACAGCTGCTTTGCGCAGCACAGAAGAGTGTCGCGCAGCAGCTGCTGAAGTGACCGACATTGTTCAGGCTTGCAGAAGGCAAGTTAGAATGCCTGCCTCTGTGCCTGCACAAAGTGCGCATTTGGCACACGTGTGACCGCAAAGCGTGCCCACCACTGCTTATAACCAGGGATGGGATTCAAATTTTTAACAACCAGTTCTGTGGGTGTGGCTTAGGTGGTGGGCTTGGCTTGATGGTCATGTGACTGGGTGGGCATGGCTTAGTGGTCATGTTATTGGCTGGGCGTGGCCAACTCAATATCATTCACATTGAGACACGCATCTCCTCGCCTGGCCACTCATGACTGTGGGAATGCTACAACTGTTGTAAGTGTGAAAAATGGTCATAAGTCACTTTTTTCTGTACCATTGTAACTTTGAATGGTCACTCCACACAAGCAAAGTACCAGCAAAGGAAGAAAAAACCTCCAGAGAAGTTCCAGAGACAGGAAGTCTAGTCCTGCCGAGAATGTAATAAGGGTTAATGGAGAGGCAGTTTCTGTAAGCAACACCAGAATGTTTCCTTCCTGCCTTCCTTACAGGATTAGGCCAGTAATTTCTTCTAACAACTGGTTCTGCGAACTGCTTAGAATGTTAACAACTGGTTTTAGCGAATAGGAGCGAACTGGTAGAATCCCACCCCTACTTATAACCTATTTTCACACTTGCGACCATTGTAGCATCTCCATGGTCCACATGGTAGAATCCCACCCCTACTTATAACCTATTTTCACACTTGCGACCATTGTAGCATCTCCATGGTCCACATGATCAAAATTCAGATGCTTGGCATGTATTTATGACAGTTGCACAATCCTAGGATCAAATGATCATCATTCCCAACTCACCTTCCCAACCGGCTTCCAACAAACAGAGTCAATGGGGGAAGCTAGATTTGCTTAACAACCACATGATTCACCTAACTGCAGTGATTCATTTAACAATGTGGCAAAAAAGGATCATACAATGGGGCAAAACTCCCTTAACAACTCCCTTGCCTGGCAATGGAAATGTTGGCTCCAATTGTGGTAGTAACTGAGGACTACCTGTAATAATTTCTACATTTAAACATTGTAATATCAGGGATCCCAAAGCTTCAGAATGACTTTGGGGGCTTTGTGAGAACTGTAGATTTGCCATGTCGGGCTTAAGACCTGCTTTATGGCTCTTCTTTATGTTCCTCCATCTAGAAAAGCTGGGTTGGTCAAACACAAAGTAAAGTTTGATTTGTGGTCAGTTCTGGAACTTTCTTTCTAAGACTGGACTAAGTTCTTCTTTGTTTATTTTAAGATGAATTATAAAAATAAGACGGATTATTTCTTCTGACTTCTGAGTGTTCTTTTTAATTATGACTGTGAAGTACTTAATTTTGGCACTTTGCAAATATGTAAATAGTATTAGATTCTGTAAATAATATTAGTGTCAACTCATAAAACATTCCTATGCCTGTTTTAGTAGTTGCCATAAAAAAGGTGGGGAGGAAGGAAATCTGGAAGAGCAGTTGAAAACAAAAGTACATTCCAAATCTTATCTTTAAAAGATTGTAACTAAAATACCGGAGTTTTGCAACATGAATGATGACACCCAGCCTGTGAATGTGCTCATTTGAAGAATCTGGTTTATGAGACACCCAGGGGGCTGCGGAAAGAGGGTCACAGGTGACTGTAATTATGTATGCCAGAGTTGGCTTCATACAGGGTAGTGCCAGTACATTGCCTCTAATGAATCCTTTGAAGTTTTTTGAAGTTTGGCTCCAGAATGATGATTTAATTAGAGCGATGGCTGGAATCCTGACAATTAGATTCTATGTCACACTGGCTTCTCTTTGGCTGCAAAGATGATTCAGAAATAAATTTATAAATTAATTGAAAATCCCTATGGATTTTCAATGAGTTTGTGAGAGCAGTGTTCATAATATGGCCACACAGTAGCACTTTTTAGTATTCATACATTTCAATCAGCTTAAAGCATTTTACTAGTACTAAGTTACAGAAACATAATTGCTATGCTAATGGCACCTTTCTCTTTCAGCAATGTTGTGACTGCTGCATGCTAGGCCAACAAGTAAAAAATGAGGGTCAAACCTGTGAGTCAAACCCAAATCTTGGTTATCCTTGCAACCATGTGATGCTTTCCTGTTGTGATGGAGAAGACCATCTTATCTCTCCAGAACTGAAAAGACAGCCTGAACCATTGTCAACAGTGACACCTGAAAAATGTAAGAGTGTTATTATTGTCTACAACAGGGGAAGGCAATTAATTTTTCCAATAGGCCACATGGGAAATTGGGACTATTGTGGAGGACCAAGCCAATAGGCTGAAATTGGCACCCATATGTTGAGGGAGAAGGAAATGAGGATCCTCACCTCAAATCACCTCACCTAGGCCTGACTGCCATTTTCTTCTACTTCAGATGCAGAAAAGTTCTTTCTTTTTTTCCACACTATTAAAAATAGTCAAGCCTGAAGGTACACAAAATACTGTATTTGTCACCAAAGCAACCTGTTTTTTTGGAAAATCAGATCCAAAAGTACAGATGATATTTAGCTTCTGTAGCAATGTTTCTTTGTGAAAAATTTTATTCTATTTTTATTTCTTCTAAATGGTTATTGAAAGACACTTATGGAGAGGCCAGCAAGTTTTTAACACAAAAGTCAGGGCAATATATATATATAATCCTGTGTGTTTCATGATGCAGTTGTTATCCTATATCATACGCTGCCCATACAGCCTAGGCAGTTTGCTAAGGTTGGATTCTTCATTATTTTCCTTTCCTAGAATATATACATCAAATGGAACAAATCTTACATAATGGCAAAATGTTTCTATCTCTCTTTTTCAATACATTCATTAATAAATGGCAGCTTTGAATTTTATAATAACAAAATCATAAAGAACAAAAACGCATCTCGAAAAATATACAATCTTCCAAAGAAGACAGTAGATACACCCAGGTCTTTTTCATTATTAATTAGAAAATGATGCAGGTGCCTGCATAATCAAAAAGAGTATTAAAGTTAAAGCGTATCTTATCACCATACATGAAATACTTTTATTGTTAAATAGAAAGATGTTTAATTAGTTTGTAAAGCTAGATACTATAAAAATATATCTCCAATATGCTCAGATACAATAGTATTTTAAAAAGTGCTTAAATGCATCTTGCTATACTGAACGTATGGAAAAACCTATCATAGGACAGGTATGGATAGTATATTTTTTATAGTGTAGTCACTAACTTGGAATTAATGGTGCAGAACAATATATATTTTAAGGTGTCATTTTTATCATAAAATAAATCTAAATTTAAGAAACATACTTTCCTTGGTACAGTTGAAAGAAGAAAGGGGAATTCTGCATACATCCATCACTTATGGATAGTGAGCCTATTACAGAAGAAAACCGTAGCAGGATATTGGCATGCTGGGTATATCAAATTATTTTCCCCACTTTGAGGATGCTATAATCCTTGATCCACCTGGCTTTTAGACTCAGCGGCTGGCATTTTACAATATTGTAATATTTGTTACATGACTACAACATAGCCATAGAAGTTCTTATGAAGTCAATAGAACCTTCCATGTAGAGCCTCTCAGGCTGTCCTCAGTTGAGAGCTGAACTGGTATTTCTAGTAACTGCAGCCAATTTCTTTCCTGACTGGACATAGCAACAAATGCATGCAAATAAAGAATATTTTAATTACTCAACACATGGGGAAAATACACATTTGCTTTATACGTGGATCTGAGTCACCAAGGCTTTATTTCAGGGATGAATAAGTGGAAAGATGTCATTTTTTTATGTCAAATTACATCCACTATGATAAATGATAGATGTAGTCTTTTCAATAGTTACAGCAGAAGCTTAGAACATGCCCATTTTTCCTGTAAAAGCTATATGGGCATAATTAAATTATTTTACATGAATGTTCCATAAATTATATTTCTAGAGGTAAACAATAATTAATGAAGTACATTATTGTTTTTGACACTTAATTAGGTTTTAAATAAAATAGGACCCAGTCATGTAATATAGGAAAATTATTCCAGAAATAATATAGCAAAAAGAATTATGCATTTTATTTTTTAAAGAGAATAAGCTAGCATATAGAAACTCTGGAAGGTTTAAAATAAAGTTACTTGAAATGTGTGGTGTCATTTTCATGGTAAATATACCTACTAACAAAATAAGCTGCTACATGAATGTGATGAAATTCAAGAAAAGGAAGTTGGTGATGCTATGGAAAGTCAGAGGTACATGAAAGAAAAGTAGAGTCATTGCAATTTTGAAAAAAACACCAGCTATGCTGAAGTTTTTACCCTTTTATATACCAGACTTGGTAGATTAACTATAAATATACAAGTTCTGGAGAACTGGTAGTGGAAATTTTGAGTAGTTCGGAAAATGGGCAAATACCACATCTGACTGGAGATTTTACAGTATCCTTCCTCTGCCATGCCCACCAAGCCACGCCCATAGAACCGGTAGTAAAAATTTTTGACTCCCACCACAAGATTTTTTTAAAAGCAGTTTGCCATTGTCTCCTTCCTAGGGCTGAGAAAAAGTGACTGGCTTAAAGTCCTGTCTTCCCCTCCCAAACTGGTTTTGTGTCTAAGGTGGAATGGAAATCCTTATGTCTAGCCTGGTGCTTCAACCCCTGCACCAAGCTGGCTCTTATATGGAGCATGGTGGAAATAATTTCATCCCTAGCTCTTTCCCATTCCCTTTTTGTATTGCAGTATTTTGATTCCTATATCACTGTCCCTCAAATTAAGGGATAATCCAGAAGAGCATATGACCTGCCCGGAGGAATTGCATCTAAGGAGAAACCTCTGGTGGCAGTCATCCAGATCTTTGTGGGAGCTATCTGAAGTGGAAAGATATCAGCTAAGTAGTAGACTCCTATAGAAACTGGATAGGAACCTGAGCAGAAATGACTTCTGCTTATGCTATAATGTCATTTTAAGCCAAGACATGATTTTTGCTATATAGCATTGAATAGAGACAGGCATCCAAACTCCAAGAAACAAGATTTCATTAGATTCCTCTTGCTTCAACTTTCTTTTAAAACATATTGAATATTTTTTATCCCAGTCTCAAAATGTTCATTTTTCCCTCCTACCCTTCTATTTTTTCATATAATTAACTATGAAATTTAAGGAACACCACAAACCCAAAGCACAACAACAAAAAAGTAGAGCAGTAAAAGTATTCAAGCAGGAATTCCATTAGGAGCAAATTTAGCTGTTCAGTTTCCACTGGACTTCTCAGTGGCTTAGATGTTTGCATCAAATGAAATCTGATAGGGTTCATCTTTCCCTAATTAAAAATCTGCAAACACTCTTCAATTAAATTAGACTGAACTAAATTAAATTAAATTAAAACATGGCAATTGAAAGTTGCATGCACAGAGCAGCCATTATGTATTTTTAAAAGCTAAGGTAGTAAAAGAGTATTGGCTGAAAGTATGAACTGTGATCTATATTGTAATTGCTTATCTGGAACTTAGTCCAGATACCTACATGGATAAGTTCAGAATCCTTCTGCTGGCTCACCAGCAAATGGAACTTGCCTGGATTAGAAGTGATGAAAAACAGGACCTTTTTGTTAGTTGTGTTGTATTTGCCCTGGGATGCCTTCTCCTTATATCAGAAATGCAAGAATTATTTTTATTCTGCTTATTGCTTGTTAATATTGCTTTGATTTATTCAATGCTTTGGGGGTGACTGACCTAACCCTAACTCTAACCCTAACCTTAACCCTAGGCAAAAACACTCCCTTGTAGATTCTTTTGGGTAAATGGTGGTCTAGAAAAATTAATAAGTTGTCATGTTACTCAATTTTTTAAAAGAGCCTTTTTCTGTTTCTAATAATAAGCCAGGTAGCTTTTGACATGAAGTCATAAGAATGACTTTTGAGCAGAAGGAACAGTGCTGGATTAACCTTGGGTTTTTACGGGTGGGTCCCTCTATTTCATATTCTTCATGTTTTGAGCATTTAAAAAAAAATCTAAACTTTATCTGCTTTTGCTATTTCCACCAGCAGTTCTGTCTTACCTCATGTCATCTAAGCTAATTATCATCCTGACCAAGGAAGACAGGAGTTGTATTACAACACATCTAGATTACATCAGGTCAGGGTAGTGTGATATAAAAGCTTTAAAAGAAAGCATCAGCTTTTTATGTCAGAGACACCTGATGTTTGTAATCTTTGAAAACTTTTGGACCCCTCTTAGAAGGACCACAACAGTCTAATTCTTAAAGTGACAGAAATGTAAAATTATTAAATATGCGATAGAGAGTAATCATTATATTTTTGATAAATAAAATTGAGTATAGTCCCCGGTATATCAATCATAGGCCAAATGCAGCCACCCACAGTCTGGAAAAAATTGTGAACCTTCCATGAAACCCATACATACGTATGTACACATCTATAGCAACACAAACACAAAACAGCTGTGAGTTCTTATCATTTATAAACGCACTTGTTTTAAGTCTGAAAAGCGAGAGTACAATCAGCTCAATCAGAAGATGGTGAAATTTATATGGGCCACTGCCTGTTGTGTATGACCAGAGGAAAATCAATTTCCCTTTTCCCATTTGCCCTCTGTATTTGTTGACCAGATGAACTGTGTACTTAAAGCTGAAGCAATTGCTTTTAATCAATGGGCATTTTAAAGTTCAACTGTCCTCTCTGAGTTCTTCCTCCTGCTGGTTTACTAGATCAATAATGCTTACCCTTTAGTTTCCCTTCCCTCTCCAACTCACAGCAATGAAAAGAGAAGACTAATATATCCCATGTGTTAATGTTTCGGCATGTTTTGAGCTTGCCCAGAGCTTGCAAGCTTGTAACAGTTAACCTGAACTTGAAAAAAAGATGTTTACCATTAAAAACAAACAAGCAAGCAAGCAAACATACACACACACATGATTTTTTTTTCTGTTTTGCCTCTATTGCAAGTGATCACTGTTATATGTTATTTATTGAATATGAACCTTATTTTTTTCATAAATTGACTTCTGCTTTGTGATTATCTTAATAATCTTTATTTGTAAACCACTGTTTGTAGTGTAGAGATTTGATAGCTATCTAGCTAGATGGACAGATAGATGACAGATAGATAAAAGTTGTTCTCCATGAACCAAACCTCTGACCTGTTGTAAATCTTAATTCATGGGTCAGTCTCTATATTGTTCCTTATCCTATACCTTTGCCTATCATGTAGCATTTTGGCGATATGAAGTGCCACAAGTAAGAACTCTTGGGATCCATCACTTGGCTGTCTAGCAGGCATCCTGCATCCTTCTTATCCTCTGTAGGCTTATATGGGAAGGCTCAGTAAGACAAAATGACAGGGCTGACAGTGGGGGCATTGTCAAGGGAAAAGCAGCTCCAGGGCATTAAGGAGGAGGCAAGAGCTGTTGACAAGAATCTTCAGCTGGATGGAGATCAAATTATCTATGCCCATTGAGGATCCCCTGTCATCTGTAGTACTGTGTCCATTATTATTCAGATGTATTATTAAACCATCTTGTAGAAGTAGTTATTTATTTTTTTAACATAGTCCTCTACACATAATCATATAATGTGCATAGACAAAGTGTTTTCCATGCATTCTTATCTCGATTGATGACTAAGAATGTTGTTAGTGACAGAGACAGAAGATCACCACGAAGCCTTGTCAATTAGTCATGAAGCTGAAATGTCAAACAGCCTGCCTGGAGATGACCAGGATGAGTGCCTTGCCTATCCAGGAGAGCTTTGTCAACACCTCTGTATCAACACTGTGGGGTCCTACAAGTGCTCATGTTTCCCAAGCTTTACTTTGCAAGATGATGGACTCAGCTGCAATCCAGGTGAGAAAATAAACCCAGGTGAGAAAAAGTATGTTTGGGCCTAACTGTGACAGCATTACTTTCATAGTTAGTGTTCCTTCATTAATGAAGTACTCGTTAGTTTCTAAATATATTCACCACTTAGTGACTTAAGTATTTGGTGAACTTTGATCTTCAGCATTTTTTTGCTTGTCTGTTTTTGTCTGTTTTTGTCTTTGCTCTTACAAAGATGAGACATTGCATAATGCCTCAATCATTGCAAGTTGAGAATACCTATATATGAACCCTTCTTCAATAGCTCCACTATCTCCAGGAACAAGTAATATTGCAAGCCACTCAGAGTTACCTTGTAATAAGATAGGCGGCCAATAAATTGGATAAATAAATAAAAGTAAATAAATACTTTTATCCTGGATAAAAGTTCAACAAGGCTTTTTAAAAAACCAATTAAATAGCCCATGACAAACATTTAGCATTTTTTCTTATTTTCTATGGCTTGTTTTTTTTTATTCAAACATGGTTACATCCTGAATAATTCATAACAATCTCTACCAGACTGCCAGTGATGTGCAGCTCTAACTATCTTGTTTTACTTAGTAGAAACTAGTTTAGCAACTAGTGAACTTTTATGGTGGGTATTGGAATATATATTCTACTTAAGCAACCAGAATGGCTTTATTATTTTGGATCAATCAGATGACAGTCTTCAAGAACATCTGGGTGGAAGTCAGACATTCTTTTAAATTGTCAGTTGGTTCATTCCATAGGGCAAATGTTCTTCTAGCAGTCATCTCTCGGGTGCAATCCTACTGAAAGAGGAAAAGAGGGTAACAAACTTAAATAACTTTGCAAGACTATTTGTTGCGATATAACTACATACTGTTTCCAGAATCCAGAGGCAAGTGTGCTATATTGCTGGGAAATGGAACTGACCAACAAACAGCAGCCCTTTGGAGGTTTCTGTGGTTCTGAACACTATCTGGATAACCAACATTGCCTTTAATCCAGCAATTTCTTCTTAAGATCTACTAGTAGACAATTGTACTATAGGTAGTCCTCAACTTACAACAATCAGAAGCTGGCTAGGAGAGTTGCAAATGGCAATAAACACATACCAGTCATGCCAGTTGCCAAATGCCCAATTTTTGATCATGTGACCATGGGGATGCTGCTAAATGCAAGGTTCACTCATAGCTTTTTTCAGTGCTGTTGCAATTTTGAATGGTCACTAAATGAATGGTTGTAAGTTGAGGACTACCTGAATACCTTCCAAATTTAATTCACATTTATGAATAGTTCCAATCATCTAAATGTAAGTCTGTATAAATTCTATCTTTATAAATCTTATCTTTATAATAAGTAGATTATTCACTTTCTGCACTGTGAGGCACAAATTGTCGGTTTTCTCCTTTTGAGTGTTTCTGATCTTTTTTTTAGAGGAAAAAAACTGCAAAACAATTTGTATTTTCAATTTGTCAGGCCTAATATTTATATGCTTTTCCTAATACAAATAGTTCTACAAGCAGCTCCCTGCAATAAATACATATTTTTTATAGTGTATGGTATTTTGTATAACTTATGCATAACTTTACATGTCTTTTTATATATGTTTTAAAAATCAGAGATCTACATTTCAGAAGTTGTAGAAGTGGATGAGCAAATTATTACTGCATTCTGGTTTATGTTGTAAATTGCAGGATGCAAATTGGGTAGATAAATATTAAAATGAGAACCAAGTAAGATTCTCCCCCATCCCTGCTGGATTATTTCTTGTATGGAAATAATCACATTGGTAAAAAGTAAAATCCAAAACATGTAGGCATTTCCAGGACAACCATCAGGCTCAGCTATAAGCTGATAAGGAGTTTAAATTGATGCTTCAAATGTCTTTTTTCCTCACCTAATAGAGAAATAAACACAGCATATGTCATGAGATTACTAAATTGCACATTAGTAATCTCAGCTAAGTATCATTGTACTCCTTCAGGTGCTCCATTGAACATGGAAAGTTAAAAAAAGGGGGGGGGGAGTAAAGAAACATGGAAGTGAAAGAACTATACATTTCATGTAGCCTAGGTCTGCAAATGGATTAGTTTCCTTTAAGTATTTTGTTAGCAAATAGCACAAAGAGAAAGTAGGTATTTAAAATGCTATGGAGTACATCAGAGATTCTATTCACAGTCAGTCAGAAACTAAACAAACCATATTTAAGCTTAACCTGTTGAACAGATTCAGTCACATGAATGTATTATGCGCAAACACAAACACTCAAAATTAACCCAGTAGAAATAGTTAAGGGTAAAATAATCCTTACTGGTGAAGTCACTTGTGCATCTGCTCTTGGAAAGTAGAATCTACCTGAAAACTCTCTAGCCTGTTCAATGCAATGATTTCAATTCTTTTTTCAAATGGGAGGAAAATATAGAAAAGAACTATCTTAAACCTCTCCTTTCCTTCCACTGTTCAGCAAATGTTGGAATTCATGTGTGATTTCCTCGCTTAACGACTGCCCTGTTTAGTGCCCATTCAACGTTTACAGCACTGAAAAAATGACTCTGTGACTGGTCCTCGCACTTACAACCATTGCAGCATCCCTGCAGTCACCAGATGAACATTCAGGTGTTTTGCAACCAGCAGGCATGTAAGACCATTACAGCATCCCACAATCATTGCCTTGTGCATTTCACAGCTGGCTTCTGACAAGCACAGTCAATGGAGAAGCTGGCAGTAACATTGCAAGTCAAGGTCCTGTGATGTCACAGTCCCTTAATGACTGTGACACTTATTGACAGAGTTATTGGCCCAATTGTGGTTGTTCAGGGAGTGCTAACTGTATTTACAATGATTAGATTACTTTCCCTCTGCTTCTCTGTATGCACCCACTTTCTAATTTTTGCTCCTAACAATAAGGCAGAGAATGGGAGAGTTATCCAACTTTTATGACAAGATAGGATTGGGGCTGGCTGGTTCCATGGCCAGTGGAAATGGAAATGGAAAGCATTCAGGTCTTTATCTTCTCTACAGTAAGCACTGCAGTTCTGGGGTGGATTGGATTGAATCAATATAAACCTAGTGGACTCATGAAGTAAAGTTAGTCCAATACAATTCCCTTATCCAAAAAACTTTGTCGCATATCTGCTCTTAATTATACCTCAAGATAATGTGAAAATGTTCCTTTGTATGTTTTCAAGCCTTTTTATTTTGAAATTTTTATATTTTTTCCCTGCCAACACCAATAAACCTTCCCCTCTTTCTATCATTATGTTTTTATCCCATTTCTGCTTCTTCTTTTGAGGAAAATTCAAGAAAATATCATTAGAAAATGATAGAAGAATCATTAGCAAGATTTTGATTCAGTGCAAAATGGACAGTCTGTTAGCTATGTGTTGCATCTTATTTTTACCATTCTATCCCATTTCTATAAATTCATTTAGTTTAAATTTTTATTTTTATGCTGTATCCTCAGTAGAGATTTTTTTTGTTTCAGTTTATTTCAGAATATTTCCACTCAAAATTAAAGAGGAAAAATAAAATAGATAAAATTAAATTAATTTAAGTTGATTTCGTCTTAGCCTGTAGCTTTTATCAGAAATCCAGTTAAATTGGGCAGCACTCATTCTAATTAGGGAGAACAAATAACATTAGCTTATTTTTTCTTTGCATATTGTCCTCATTGGAGTTCTGTTTTTACATACATACTGTGTCCAGTTCTTAAAATTTGTGCAATAAAGATAAAAGCTTTCTGATATTATAGTTTGAGATCTTGTCATAGATGCTGATGTTTTTAATTTAGATTCAAATCTGAGCATAAATTGTGCTGTGATGTCAGGCTCATATTAAGTTTGTTGCTATGGAAAATAGACTCACTTAGATGTACTTTATTGTACTTGTTTTCTTAAGAAAACAACAAATCAAAAATATGAAACTTGATGTTTAACATTACAACTCTTCCTCTATAATTATTTGTCCATTTTATTAAGTATTTACAATGCTAAAATATTTGGTTATAATGCAAAGTTCAATGTAACATAAAGGTTTCATAGATTAAAAATCCATAGGTGAAGCAGAATGTGTTGATTCTGTCATACTAATTTCATAGTGGCTTAATATTGGCATTTTTCTTTTTCAAATTATATCTATTCACATCCATTTCTGTCTGTACAGAAGTCAAAATTTAACACTTTAAGTACTACTTGAAGTGAAAAAATGCTTAAATTCCAGCTTAATTTTTTTTCTTTTTATGGCCTTGTAATCAGCTTAATGGATTTCAGATGTTCATTTCTGAAAAGATTGTTTATCAAGTAAGTGTCAAACCTTACATCAAGTAAGTGTCAAATCTTAGTGACCACATGAATAGATTTTCTCCATGATATTCATGAACGGACCATGTTTATAGTTTAATCAGATTGCACACGTGTTGGCATCCCTAAGACCAAAGTAATGAATGAAATCCTCCTAATGAATACCACCTGGGGCATTTTAACATTTTTTAAAAAATATCATTTTTATTTATTTTTATTTAACTTCAATTTTTTTACTTTAAATGTTCCTGTTAAGGAGTTGCAAGTTAAGGAGTTATACCTAACTATGTTTGTCTAACAGTTGAGCATACATTGATAGTGGATTAGTCTCCCATTTATATTCTAAATCTATTCCACAAGACCTTCTGAAGTATATTTGTTGCAAGGATATTGTGGTGTAGAAGAAGAGCAAAATACTTTCCATTGCATAATGTCTAAAGTAGTCCAAAGAGTCTGAAAGCTAAAGACAGTCTTGGTCATATGAGAAATATGACAGCTATTTTATCATGAATTCCAAAGGTCAAAATGGGAGAGTTTATTATGTATGTATGTATGTATGTATGGTATTCAGCTTTGTTCGGGTATTTTCCCACGTCATTGTAGTTGTGCTTTTAAAGTTGTAGCAACGTTTCAGTAGAATCTCATCTGCCATCATCAGGCTTCTGTATTGTGTTCGTCTGTGAGTCAGACTTTTACAGTTGTTTTAGTTTTAAATTTGGG